TCTGATACTTTCTTGGTTTTATGTGTAGGTTTTCTGGTAGCTTACTTTCCTCTAAGTTCAGAGAAGTCCAAAAAGAAGTTTGTATATTAGTGTAGCTGTAGGCTGTTACAGCACTGCTTGTAGAAATAATTAAAAATATGCTAACCAAATTTAATCCCATTCCTTGCCTTGTTGAAGGCACAGCCTATGCTGTACTTTGTGATTTTCAAAAATGTAAAGTATATTCAGGTACTGGAGTGCTAAAGCAGGTTACAGCCCTTGTTCCTCACATTTTTGTTGTTTATCTTTCGTGACTTAAATTGCAGAGGTGTTAAAACTCAAAATTTTGATTCTGTATTCACAGAATGTGTTTGTATTCTCATTATGCTCTCTGTCTACCAAAGCCATAAGCTGCTTTTTCTTGGAGAGAAATCGTTTAATGTTTTTTTTTTTAACTAAGTGTGCTACTCATTCTGTTAGAACTCTAAACTCTGCGTAGTAACTATGTAGCAGTAGAATTTTTCACTTTAAAAGCTTACAGTAACTTCTGTGTAACGGCTAGCCAAGGGTTAATTTAGTAACAGAAACTGTTTATCATTTAAAAAAAAACAAAACAAAACAAGCTTTTATTGAGTAATTGTTTTAAAAATAATTCTGTCACTAATTAAAAAAATATATCAGATTATTCCTAATCAGATAATTCCCTTTTTGAAGCAGTGTTTTTCAAGCTGATGATCTTCCACTGGAAATCAGGCAGAAGTGTAAACTTTTCTCCAGGCCTTTCCAAAGCTGATAGGAGAAAATTAGAGTTCCATCCTTCTATCTCTGATTTCCCTGATTGTCTAAAGAGGACACCGTGCAGCTAAGCTACTCCCTTTTGTAGACAAAACTGGGAAACTAAGCTGAACTTAGTCAAAAGAGTGGAAATAGAAAGTAGAGGATTCTGGGGACTGGGTTCTTAACATCATGTACGCTTGCCTGTGAACAGCTTGGCAGTAGTGACATGCTAAAGATGTAGAATTGCAGCCAGTTAGATCTGGCTTGAGAAAATATCTAGAGGCAAGAATAAGAATGAAAAACTTAAATCATTCTTGGTATGTACTGCATAGGAATTGAAGGCCAGAATTTCCAGAGCTATGGTTTAATATTAGATGCTTGAATTTTAGTTGTATACTGTGTCACCTTCTGATATAAAAACTTTTTAGTAGTCAACTATTATACACAGTTACTTTATTTCAAACAGCAATTCAGGAGTAACTGGTATAACACTAGTTAGGTGAATTTATAGTGCTGTAAACCCTTTCATCTTGCCAAACAAAAATCTGGTTAACGTGATAGCATGTCTAAAACTCCAAGCTAAGGGCATTTCTTCAGATTGCATTTATATGCTCCTTGCTAGCAGATAAGACTATGAATGTAGTAGCACTGGTGTTTGCTAAGAATGCTTTGACTTTACTCATTTCACTTGTTTTGGTGTGCATTTGGTTTTGGGGATGTTTTTGGACCTGTGCACACACATTAATCTTTTTCATGTGTTTCGTGTATATGCCTTGAATGGAAGCTCACATTTTCATACTCTCATGAAATAATCTTTTAAAACATGTTAATTTACTGACACATAACGCACAGTCTGTTAAAATAAGCTTCTGCTTATGTGCTATTTACTGTTCTATAGGCACATGGTTTTGTCAATTGATACAATTTTGTGCAATACTGTATGTAGAGTTCTGAGTTATAATAATAAATATTTGCCTGTTGGTGAATGTGAAAGATTCCTATCTTGAAATGATTCTCTTTGCAATAATAAATATGGGGTAGAGGGCTTGGCAGAGAATTAGACATACAGAATTGTATGCCTGGGTTAAGAAATAGATACAGTGTTGATGTTATTGAATTAATAATTCTAAGAAATATTAACAACCTCCATCACTTTCTCAGAATTTGTTGGTACAGCTGTATATTCACAATGCTGGAGAGAAAGAACCAAATCTTTTCTACAGTCGGGAGGCTGGAAAGCAGCTGTCTTTCTGTTGGAGTTCTTACAGAAGTTTGGGGGGGAAAAAAAGCAAAACCCTAAAACAAACAAAAAAATTCTTGCACACCAGCAAGTCACTCCTGATCCACTCGCTTTTGTAGCTCTCTTTGGATGTCTCAAGGAGGAGGAAAACTTGTTCAGGAAAACCTTAAACAGTTCCGTATACAAGTCATTTTGGCAATGAATGACAGCACAAAATGAATTTGAACGAAAAAAGTAAGACATGGATGGTAGGACTGTAAAATCTAGTGTCAAATAATTATAGTTCTGTGTGTGTTGGAATCCTATCTGCCAGGCTGATTATGTTGTTTATTTATCACTGTAATTATTATTCTTCCCATTTATTTAAATGGGCTTCTTTACTAGCAGAAAAATTCCCAAACTATACCACTTTGGTGCTAACACTATATATATATATTTTTTTCATTAAGCAGGTAATTATTTTATGATGCTACAATTCTGCAGTTTCTCTCCAGGAATCCGTAGTTGTCTCGTGTGGCAAAGTATGTATTTATGTATTTGTTCCAGAAGAGCTCTGAAAAGATTACTTGAAAAATGACTTTTCAGCATGACTAGCTTTTTATCTGTAAACACACAGTTTAAAGATAAAGATGTAAAGCCATACAGTGAGAACTTTGGCCTTTTCTTTTCCTTTTGTGTTCTTTTAAGATATGTGAGGAATGCTGCTTTTTGAAGGCGAGCTAAAATTCAAGGACTTAGCAGAGCTCCACATGCACTTAGGTTTGAGTGGCATTAATTGTAATTGTTTTCAGCAGGAGCTGGCATTTTCCTTAAAGATTCACTAAGGGTAGTTTATTTGCTAAATTGAAGCAAGCTCTTTGCCATCATCTCTTACTGTCCCTTTCAGTGGGTCGTTTATTTAACTTGGGTGTACCTTCACTGGTAGCAGCGCTTCTCATACTGTGTAATCTGTGTTCCTAGATCAGATCTAGGAATGCTAGCCACAGTGTCCTAACCCCTGCTTCTTCTCATAAACTTACAGCCTTATTTCATGGGAACAGATAGTTACTGCCACAGGGGGGCAGTAAGTTTACTGCAATTACTGTTCATTCAAAATGAGAATTGCCACTGCCTGGTTCCCTGGTTCTGTTTCCTCTTGTATTTCATAGAATATTTTTTGCTGATATTGATGGAAATGACTGTTGTGTTGTTCACCCTTATTTCTGTTCTGTTCTGTTTTTCTTGTCTGTTTCTGAAGGATACAGATGGGTGCAGGTAAGCAAAATGCCAAATCACTTTAAGACCTCCTGATGCAAAGAATAACAAAGAGCAGAGCATTTATTTTGCCAGCGAGCTTTTTCTATTGGTTTCCTTTCCATTTGTCTCCTTACTTGTACTGTGCTAGTGTACTTGATTAACATTATATCTAACTAATTTCTGCAGATGTATTCTGATTGTCAGCTTTAACCTCCAAATGCTGGGATAGTCTGATCCAACTGGATGAAGAATCTCATGTAATAGTGAAGTCTCCACTCACAATGGTGCTCTCATCCTCTACACCTTAATTATCTGGATTTTAGCTATTGCACAGTGATTTTATGACACGTGATTTTAATGACAAGTTCCTTCTTACTGAAACTAAATGTAGACAACAAGAATAAGTTCCCCTGGCTAATGAAATAAGAGAGCCTCCAAAAAAAAAAAAAAAATTGAAATAACCTAAATAGCTGGATTCATTACACAGAGATATATCCTTGTTTTGACCATGTGTTTTAATCTTTAATTTGTTCATAGTGAGTCATCCATGTAGACCTTTAATTCCTAATTACAGTGAATCAATACTAAATTGAGGTATGGAGTAGCAAAACTGTTTAAATTTTAATGTTAATTATACTCATTATTTTTCACTGCACTTATTTCATTTTAAAAGCTTAAATGCAAGCAAGTATTCAAATAAGGAGAAAAGGCTAGGTGCTAACAAACTTAATGTTGTAGGATCTTAGAAGAACACAGGCAGTGTGGAGTGGAAAATAGTCCCTCCTTATCGTCCTTCATTTTCACAATAAATTTGTCCAATGTGATCCTCTCTTTTTTCAAATTAGAGCTAATTGAAATATGTTGTCAAAACTTGTTTTCTAGTGAATATCTAATGAATAATGCCACCTCCCTAAATAAATTAATAGAAAATCCAGTACTTGGATGTGAATAGTGACAGTGCAAAACTGCTGTTTGGAAAATTTGTTAAGAATGTAAAGTGTGCTACTTCTCCTTGAAATATATCTTCTGAATTTCTTCCTTTGCTATTCAAGCTATGAATGGAAATTCAACCAAATTGGCCAGCTCTAGCAGAGTTTGCTGAAGTGCTTTTAGGAATTACTGGTATGTTTGTATCCTCTGTTTGAGGCTGCTACCACTACAGGAAATTTGTAAACAAGTGGCTGAACATCAACTGGTGAGGCTGAGTCTGTGTTAATACATTGCATTTTGCCTATCTGTACTTCAAGGGAGGAACCCATGTTCCCTTGCTGAAATATTGAAAAACCACAATATAGCAATAAGCAGAGGTAAAGTGATAACCAGAGATATCTGCCCATGTCCTGAGAGCCTGAAATGCCTGCTGTGAGGTGAGCTGCCCTCTACCATGTTCTGTTCATGAACAACCTCTGTTTTCCACAATTAATCCAGAACTTCAGAGTGTTTGTGCAATCCTTAAATCCAGAGGCTGTTGCACATTCAACAAGATCTTTGCCATCCTCATTATGGGCATGGTCCAGAACTGTGAAGCGGTATACAAAGTCTCAAAACAACTGTCATGAACTCCAGATTTCGATCATTTCAAGGAAAACTGTTCACATTAAGTGCACGTGTGCCTTCCTTTGTCTTAATGACATTTGTGCTGCCTGGGCTGTCATAAAACTGGCTAGAACAGCCTTATGCTATGATTAGGCCCATATGTCTCAATAGAGAGGCTTTGCATGTAGCACTTCTGAAAACAATACTCTTGGTTTATTATTAAATTGAAAAATCTTTCCTGGAAAATAGCAATCTGGTAGGAAGCTGTCTGAGCTGTGCTTTGCACAGAGGACTGTGGAAATGTGAACGTGATGGCTTTGCTTCTGCTCTGCTGCCACCCCAAGCCCCACCAGCTGAAGGAACTTACCTGTGGTTCACCTGCTGTGGCATGGAAGTCTACAACTCACCACTGTGCTCCTAACTCCCCAGAAGCGGAGTCACGTGGATCTGGTTAAACAAACTTAGTTTGCAAGTATACGGTTGGAGATGCTGGCTTAGCATCTGCGTGTAAATCTGGTTTGCTGGACAGAACAAACAGTAGTTATCTTCATGAGATACAAAGACGGTTCTAGCCGAGTAAGACAACAAACTCTGAGCCCAGATTACAATGTATTAAAAAAAGGAGATGAAGGGGTGAGGGGACACCTACTGGGCGGGATGGCTGATAGGTAAACTGAGAAGAATGTGAACCCTGAGTGCCCCAGCCAGCGGGTAGAGGGAGAAGGACTCATTGGCACTGGGGTACAGGGATAAAAGAGCGGCTGTGTCCCTTAGTACTTGGAGAGATCCACGGGGTTATGCCCCAGTGGACTCTCCCTTGACTCAAATAAACAAGCAGCAGAGCCTGACGCAGGTGCTCTCAGCGGTGACCCCAGCAGGCCGCAGCGGGAGGGGCGGGCGGCTGTTCCGCTCGGCGCCGCGCTCCCGCCGGGACGGAGGCGGTTGATGTGCGGTGTGTGACCGGGCCGTGGCGGCCGGCAGGCGGGGAGGGCGCGGGCGGTCATCTGAGGGGCCTCTGCTGCCAGAACGTGGGCGGCAGGAAAGAGGGGCTCTTGTCTGTGGTAGTAAAAGAGAAAGCAAGGGAAAAAGAATGAAGCCAGTGAAGGGG